ACAGGAAAACAATTGCTGCAGGGTAAAGAAACTTATATACCTTACATATACAACTCTATATAAAAAACTGGAAAAAATAGCCACTATTAACATTTTACTATGTCTCTGTTTGGGTTTTGTTCTCTTCTTTAGACTCAGTTTTCTGAAATTTCTTTAATGTACTTTGTCTTACTTTGATAATCAAGGGAAACAGTTATCTGCAAATAAAAAGACGTTTTTATAACTCATATTACAATAAAATTTATAAGTAACTCCTAAAAATAATTCACTTCCTAAATTGCAGTACTGCTAGTTTACCCTTCTTAGTACCTACATACCAAAAGGAAGTAATAAATATTAAACAATTAAGTATTATTTTAGTAAATACTAAGTGGACGAGAAGGTTAAAATCACTTCACAAAACGGAATTTAGATTACCTGAGTATGCCTTAAAAATTTTTTTTACTATGAAAAATGTCAAACATACACAAAAAGTAGAGATAATAATGAATCTCTATGTATCAATCAAGTCTTCAACAATTATCAACATCTGACCTATCTTCTTGTTTGTTTTACCATCCTCTATTTTAAAGCAAACCCCAATCATGACATCTTTAAGGATGCCTGTTCTTATAATGCTCTTAAGCAACTTGCGGTAAATGACAAACTATGGCTACAAATCCCTCCCATTCAAGTAAGCACACACCTTCGCATTGTGATGTTGCTGGTGTGCACTAAAGGGGTGGAATCTGTTTTTTTTTTTTTTGGCTTTTTCTCCCCAAATTCCCCCAGTACATAGCTGTATATTTTAGTTGTGGGTCCTTCTACTTGTAGCATGTGGGATATTGCCTCAACATGGCCTGATGAGCAGTGCCATGTCCATACCCAGGATCTGAACCAGCGAAACCCTGGGCCGCTGAAGTGGAGCACACGAATTAACCACCCAGCCACAGGGCCGGCCACTAAAGAGGTGGAATCTTATTCTCCCATCCCTTGAATGTGGGCTAGCCTTGTGAGACTTTGACTAAGAGAATACAGTGTAAATGACATTATACGATTTGCAAGGCTGTAAGAAGTCTCATAGTTTCCACTTGCACGTTCTTGGAACGCTGTCTTGAGACTCCCATGTCATAAAGGACAATATGGAGCAAAGCCTAAATGTTGCTTAACACCAACTGCCAGACATGTGAATGTTGTCATCTTAGACCTTCCAGCCTGAGAAATCCTTCAGCTGAATGCTGGTACATGAGTGAACCCAGGCAAAACCAGCAGAACTGTCCAAGAGGCACACAGAACTGTAAAATATTAGTAAACAGTTTCAATCCACTAGGTTTTCAGGCAGTTTGTATGCAGTAATACAGTAGGGCTTCATAACTTATCCTAACTTACTTTCTTACAATTATCATTATGTACCTGGTTTCTATGAAAAATTTGATTCTATTTCACGGTCTAACCTAGAATGTGTCTTAAACACCAGGGAAGTTGCAGTTACTGAATTAACAAAAGCACAACATTACCATGCAATAAATTCATGCAACGAAGGCCAAAGAGATCACACAAAATACCAATGTATTTCAATAGCCAATAGCCTTCCAGAAATACAAATGCAGTTACAATTCCATTATTTACGTCTATTTGGTTTATCTTTTTGTTTAAAAAAATCTGCTTCTGGGGGAAAATTTCTTTTCTTAATGGGAAATCCTAGTGTTTTAATAATCCTAGTGAACACAGAGACATGGAAACTAAGGGTGGTTACATGAGGAAAGTGCTTTAAAAACACAGAACTTTATGGGTCTTCTAAAAAAAAGCCTCTTGATTTTTAGCTGACAAATATTTAAGAAATAAAGATCTACCCAGGTCTTGAAAAATAATAACCAGAAAAAAGTTTAACATCTCCATGAGAAAACATGACTATGATATTAAGTCTACAATAGAGTACTTCATAAAATAATCTGTTCTCCTTTGAAGTTTCAATGTTCATTCAGTAAGTGGAGATCATTTTAGAGTTTTTTCTGGAAAGTGAGTTTCTCAAACACATTACACTAAAGTACAATAAGGAAAGGAAAGATGAGAACTAGCTTTGAAGGTTCAAAATCTGCCCTCTTCTAAAGCTGTTGACAAAAGTGGGTGTAGAGAGGTAAGTGATTTTAAAACCAGATGTTCAACTTATCTAGTCTAACCGGTAGAGCCACAGAGAAATATATTCGAGAGCAAGAAAAACCAGCTTGACTATATAACTTCAGAATAGAGTAGAAAAGTTAAAAATTAAGATCAATGAAAATTAAACCCCAGCCACTCTCAAATTATAATGTTATCCCCCTCTTTTGGGCTCATGTTATGATTAGCAACTGTATTACAGATAGAAGTTTTGCAAAATAATGAATAATGAGAAGATAAATTATTTTGCTGTAATAGAATTTTGCTTTAGTGAATTCAAGTAGATCTGAGGAATCCAAAACCTTACTTTAAATTGTAATTATCCTAATGTGATAAGTTGTTGATTCAGTTATTTAACAATTGAAAGGTTCATTAGTTCTGAAGTTTAATTTGTTGGTTAAAAATGAGGTTTGATGCAAGCCTGTGCATTTCACCAATGCATTTCCCACTGTTCTTTACTGGCATTTAATTACCCATAGTAACAGAAGGATGTATCAGCAAAGACAATCTAAAAATGATTTTTATTTCACTTAGGGACATAATAGCTCTCCATTCCCAACAGCACAGAGCACTAACTTTCCAAAACAGTACAAAAGGTCTTTCATGTCATGCTGTAACCTTCCATTCAACTGTTTCAGCTATGGGGAACAAATTGTCCATTCCTCAAACAAACCATGATACTATGACTTTGCAGTTTCCTTATCAAACTCCTAGTCATCCTTCACTTCTCAGCTTAAACAATACTTCCTGTAAAACTTCCCTCAAGATAAAACACTCCTCTGTGCATCCATGGTACTACTATACACATGTATTAAGGTAACAGCAGTAGTTGTTTACACTAGTTGGACGGCTAAATTGTGAGTTGTGGAGGGCAGATGCTGTGTCAAGAATTCTTGTAATGTGAAGTCCTAATCTAGTAGCCAGAATACAACAAAAAATTACCAAATGATGTAAAACATTTTTGTAATGTACAATGTTCTACAATGTTTGATAATTTTGCACTATTAAAATTATTTTCCCAAAATATAAAATGTGGGTAACTCTTGAACACATACCAGATGAAGAGTTGTGTTAAGTGGATATATGGAGCTGATTAAAAATTGGAGCGCCAAGGATGACTTTTTATGTCCAAGCTGATTATCTGACACCTGCACGTAGAATATATGTGTGTATCTATACAGGGGCATCTTTGTGCTTTATCTGGGAAAATAGGCTCTCCTGCCAATGTGGCAGAAAGAGAAATCACTTGTACTTAAATAAGTAGGAATTTTTAATCACACTTACTCAAGACATATGACCCAGCATGCAACTTTGGAAAAAACCCAAGACTTTGCATTCTGACCTTGCTAACATCCGTGGTATAATTTAGGGTAAAAGAAGAGCTGTAAAAAGTTCTTATCTAAAAATACTTGTAGTATAGAACTTATATACACTATTGTGTGTGAGAACCAGCAGTCAGCCACTGTGGGGGACATACTACAGGCTGAGTAAAATTTTAGGGTTATTCTGATCAGAATGCATGAATATAAACAATTGGAATGCGTGAATATAAACAATGGGACTTTACGCACCAATTCCAATTGTTTACATCCATTAAAAATTCATTCTGCAAGTATTATGTCCCCCAACGTGTTGACTGCTTCTCACAACCTCATCTAATTTAATCCTCACCTCAACCCTAGGAATTAACCTGTTTTTCTAAGGAAATCTGAAGAGGTTAAATAATTATGGCAAAATCCAGACTTACACCCAAATCTTCTGACTTTAATCTTCATACACCACTTGTTGCACAAAATGCTGTAGAACTGTGAATGAAAGTCCATTCCTGAAACAAAATTTTATCTCACGAAAAAAATCTGGTTACACTGTGTCTGCCTTAACAATATACTGTTCGATTTTTACATCAAAAATTTGTCTTTAACCTACCTCTTAGTTCTAAACAGAAATGGATAGATAGGCGTAAGAAAAGAGGAAAATGTAAAACAATGAAAAAAGAAAAATACCTAAAATACCTAAAAAGTCCTACAAGATCGAAAAGAAATGTTACTAAATTCAATTTCAGTTGGCACATTTACTCTTAAGTGCCAACGAGATTAGTCGCGACGAATTTATTACCAAGACAGAGACTGTCCCTATATATTAATATTTACATCCGTACGTAGGAAAAAAGTATTAATAGTGTAGGATTTTTTGGTGTGTGTACACGTTCATCTTTACTACGCAGTTTCATCAAAATGAGGGAGTATGCTACTACTGGTGCCTTCCGTATTTTTACTTCTTATGCCAACAGGTCCGTTTTTTATACATATCACCTATTTCAATTTGAAGAACAATTTACTACAATACAAAAGGACTCCCAAGTATCACGATATTCAAGAACCGGAAGGATCAATGAGCAAATCTTCACCCCATCTAAAGGGCTGGCCAAGTCTCTTCGATTCGAGGCCGGGTTGGCAGAGCCCTAACTCTCCCCGCCTTCAACACCGCGCTCTCTAAATACCACACTCGTGACCCTCCAGGCCCGCAGGGCTCCGGAGGACCCTCCTCACCCCGTCGAAGAGGAGGCCGCCAAAGGCCACACAGGGCTCAAGCCCCTTGCCCTCACCCATCCCCCCGTCTATAAGGAAGAAGCGCAATCCGTCCCCTCCACCCATCACAAACTCCGCCACGGGACGAAAGGCCACCGGCAGAGCGGGCCTGCCCCCGGCTGCCCCTTCGAAGCCGCGGTCCCGGATCAAGCTCCTCCACCCCAGCTAGAGAGGAAGGACCCAGGCGGGCGCTTCGTGTCCTCCCCTCCCCCACCCGCGGCCTTCACCAGAACCACCACCCCGAGAGGCAGAAACCCGAGCTTCGCAGCTTATTACCCCTGCTCCCGAGATGGCATTGAACAGGGCGCGTCCCGCTCGCAGCGACCACACCGCCGGCTACCTCCTCCGAGTTCTAGGCCTCTCAGTGAGGCAGAGCAGTCGGCAGCGAAGCACAATGGCGCCCACCCCTCTCCTGGATCCGGCGCAGAACCAGCCGCCAACGTTAAATGCCCCTCCCTTCTCCTCCTCCCCCAGTTTCGCAGACTCGGCCGGCTTCTCGCGAGAGTGGCGGCGCTGCGGCGACCCGAGAGCTGCGGGCGGGCTCGACGTACCCCGCCGCCGGGTGGTGCTCTGATTGCGGCAACCGTTGAAGGGCTGCCCTCGGGGAGGCTGCGAGGTGCCACCGGTAAGCGGCTGCGGCTGGTCGGCCGGCGGGCTGGCGGCTGGGCCGGCGAGCGTGCGGGCGCCGGGAGCCGGGCGCTAGAGGCCCGGCCCTGGTTGGCCGCCCTCGCCTCGGTGACGAGGGGCTCTGAGCCAGCCCTGCCGCTCCCCGGCACCCGAGTCCCCGCCACCTGCTCTTGCCCCCTCCGGCAAACCTGCGGGGCCCACTGCTCGAAATACTGCCTAGCTCTTTTTTTTTTTCTTTTCTTTTTTTGGCGCTTGGTAAGTGGCGCAGTGAATGTTTATTGACTTGAATCAAGCACTGCCTTTCCCGACCTCTCCTCTTCCCCCTCCCTGCCCGCCCTGTTTGATGTCTGCAAAGCCCTCTCTGAGGGTTGGAGCCAATTTGTCCGGGACCGTTCGTTTCTTGTAATTCGGTCTTGGTGATGGTGTACTTTTACAGTCATATCTTTCATAATCTTGATACTAATCTTTAATAGTGTAGCTACAGATTTTTGCTGTAAAAATTCATCCATTTAGAAAGAGGGAGGAAAACGGTCTGGTGAAAATTAGACGAAACTTTCAAAAACCTGTAAATGTGGTAAACTAAGCTGTAAATCAGTACTAATAAAAGGCAGTGGGTTAGAGGAAAAAGCCACAATTTATGTGGATTTAGGTGATATGTGGACTTTGAATAATATATCAAACATAAAAGTTCTTTAGCGGTAAAGATACGTAATTGAAACTTGGAAGCGTACTGATGGCACTTGATTTTTAAAGTGACGTATTTTATTAGGTTGTTTAAAGCAATTCGTTGGCTCCAAATAATTCCAATAAATGAAGTATGAGCTTTATATGTATCTCTTTGTCATCTCATTTGAAGGGAATGTGCTATCACTATCATCCTCATTTCACTGTCTTGGATACTAACAGACTGTGCTTCAGTTTTGTAAAACATTACAAATTTTAAGGATTTAAAGTTCGATTATTGTTATTTAAAGTTGGCACAAATGCCAGTCTAACTTTTTAGGATGTGAGTTGAAGATTAAGCATCTGGTATGGGATAAAGTGAACACAGACTACTTTTAAGGAAATTAATTTGTCCTTCTTATAAAAATAATTTTTTCCCAGCCTGTTTGTGTATACCTGTAGCATTGTGGCTATGGATAGACACACCCTGAAGCACCAGCCTGCATGGGTTCAAGTCCCAGCCCTACTTTTTACTACCTTTCTGGTCTTGAGTAATTCCTTAATCTTGCCAAGCCTAGGTTTCCTGTACAATGGGGTTAGTAACCTTAGCTGTCCCTGATAGTGTTGTGGAAAGGATTAAAGTTGCTGGAACATAGTAAGCATTCCATAATTGTTAGCTATTACATTCTATGTCTAAACCACTGCTAACATTGTTTTTCTGGGGCTTAATATTACATAGATCCCCTGAACATCCTGTTCTGAAGTGTATTCCACACTAAGAGGAATGACTACACCATTTTCCTGAGTTATGGCGGTCAGACTTGGTAGCGGTAACTTCTCTACAGAACTAAACCTGAAAGGGATGGTTCAGATTTTGGCAGATTGTGGCTTCATCTTCAGCCAGCACTGATGGTATCATCAGAGGTGAGTGTGGCACCAGTTTCCTATGTAAACAAACCTTCCAGACTCTAGTTTCTTATTGATGCTAGTAAACATGTAAAGACCACTGATAAGTATGTTTTTATTCTTTAAGAATGGTTATTGTTTTTTAATGTACTGTCTCTGATTTGAGTTTCTAGATAATTAACATTATCAATAAATAATTAGTGAGATTTTCCTACGTTAAAGACGACTTGTTAGGAATTGTAAGTACAAATAGGTACAATAGTGACTGTATTTTCTGAATGAAAAATCAGGACAAAATGATTTGACAGGCAACATATTTGAAATTGGAACTGTTCTGACCAATCTAGGTTCCATGGTTGCCTTTTTTGCACAGAGTTCCCCCACTTGACCTTCCTTTGCTGAACTTTTTATCTTTATGACCAACTCTGACACACCTTTTCTTATCCAAATATCTTAGTTCACCACTTGCCCACACCACTCACATTAATTTCCCTTTTTGAACTCAACTTCTCTCAATTAAGGTCTTAGTTACTATTATTATAATTTGTCTGTCATTTGACTCCGGTCATAAGAGCCCTTTACTCTTATGCTTAAGTATTTCTTCAACTACTTGATAGCTTAGAATTCTCTGTCAGATAGTGAATTTCAAAGTTTCTGTTTTCCCCACTTTTTATCATCCCACAACCTAACTTTCTAAGATGTTTCTCGATGGCAAGGACAATCTTACAGATGTTCTTTACTTTGCATTAAATGGTGTGATCTTGAAAAGGTGTGGTTATATTTGCTTTTTATAAATCAAATCATTTTCAAAAGTAGGTTATTTCTTAAACTTTGGAGGAACAGGAGGTAATACTTGGGATGAGATAAGTGTGCTTACAGGGAGGTCCCTGAGTTGAAAACAAAGGATGTCAGTTTCTTCTCAAATGGGAATCTAATTAATCCCCAGAGAAGGGGACCTCATAGCATCAACCAACTTGAGGATCTACTATTTAAACTTATGAGTGACTTTAGATATATAATATTTATTATTATTTAAAAATAGTCTATAGGTTGAGGACTCTTCCTTCTAAGGAATACATAGCTTAAAGATCCTTTATTTTAAATCTTTGATGTAAAGAATTCTTTTCATGTTAAAAATAATATATACCCTTGATTTAGTGATTTTGTGAATTTTAATTTTCCCCTCATCAAGTTTAATTGGAAGGTGCCACATTTAATAAATGAATATCCAAGACATTCTGTTGGTTAGCTTCTGCTGGATTAGCAGCAATAATTTTCAGTCCCCAAAGTCAGTAGTTAAAAGGATATAAAAACAAGTAAAGAGAATACGATCTTGAAACCCTTCCTGAGAAACCCTTTTTTACAATTAAAGTTTTGGTCTAGATTTCACTGCTTCTAGGAACATCATTCCTCCTCATATAGTTACTCCAGAATGTCTGTCCTGGTTAGGAACAATTCCCAATTTTGGGGGCAGTTGGAATCCATATGTGAAGCACCTTTCACTCTCCGTGACGGAGACAGTATGGCCAACAAAGCCTAAAGTATTTACTATTTGATTCTTTACAGAAAGTTTCCTGATTTCTGGAGTAAACTGTAAAACCAGATTGAACTGACCCATGTTCCCTTAAAATAGTCAAGCTAAACGCGCACACACGTCTTTCAAATGAAAATAATCAAGGACTGTGCTCTGCCTGCATGGCCACTTCAGACTACATTTTATGAGACTGCAAGCCCAAGAGCATCCAAATACTGATATAAATTCCTTGGATATTCCTTCAGGAAGTTTGGTTGCAACCCCCTTTTTATCTTAATTTTTTTTCATGTCCACATATGTGGACAATTTTATAACAATGTATGTATGTGATTATATCATACATACTAGCAATTTTAGTATAGGTCTTTTCTTTTTTCTGCTTTTTCTTTTTTTTTCCCTTTTCTTTTCCTTTTTAATTTGGCTTTCCCGCCTCTATCTACTACTCTGCAATTATCCTTGTAAAATTAGTAAGTATCCTGCATTTTTTTTGTGTGTTTGTACAATATTAAAAGAATAGTTATTCAAGTGCCCAGCAACTGATTGGATAAAGACGATATGGTATATATATGTACAATGGAATACTACTCAGCCATAAAAAGGGACAAAATTGTCCCATTCACAACAACATGGATGGACCTTGAGGGTATTATGTTAAGTGAAATAAGCCAGACAGAGAAAGACGATTACTGTATGACTCCACTCATAGGTGGAAGTTAACATATAGGCAAAGAGAACTGATTAGTGGTTACCAGGGGAAAGGGGGGGTGGGGGGAGGGCACGAAGGGTGAAGTGGTGTACCTACAACATGACTAACAATAATGTACAACTGAAATTTCACAAGGTTGTAAACTATCATAATCTTAATAAATAAAAAAAAAGAATAGTTATTGGGCTGGTCCAGTAGCATAGTGGTTAGGTTCACACGCTCCAGCGGCCCAGGGTTCACAGGTTCAGATCCCAGGCATGGCCTTACACACCACTTGTCGAGCCACGCTGTGGCTGCTTCCCACACAGAAGAACTAAAGAACTTACAACTAGGATATACAACTATGTACTGGGGCTTTGGGGAGAAAAAAAATAGAGGAAGATAGTCAATAAATGTTAGCTCAGGGTCGATTTTCCTCACCAAAAAAAAGAGAAAAAAAAAAAAGAGTTATATGTAACACACATACAGAAATACTCATATATAGAGAGATTTTTTTTTCTTCCTTTTTCTCCCCAAAGCTCCCCAGTACATAGTTGTATATTCTTAGTTATGGGTCCTTCTAGTTGTGTCATGTGGGATGCCACCTCAGCATGGCTTGATGAGTGGTGCCATGTCCTTGCCCAGGATTTGAACTGGCGAAACCCTGGGCCGCTGCAGTGGAGTGAGTGAACTTAACCACTCAGCCATGGGGCCGACCCCTATAGAGGGATTTTTTTTACCATTTATTTTATAAAACAGTATCAAATTTCAAAATGCATCTTCATCATACTTTTTTCGATCAAAAGTACCTTTTCTCTAAATCAATATTTCTATTGGTTGTTTATGCTTTCTTGTCTATTTGTGATAGATATTACCACTTTATCCTGCCTTCACAATATTCTTTCAACTCTATCATCTGTCTGTTGACTTGCTATTTAGTATCTTTTGCCATAGATACATTCATATAGTAAAACATGTCTTGGATTTCTTTTATAACTTTTGGATTTCTAGCTTAGCTTAAAAGGTTTTACCTATCCTCGGATTGTATCATGTAG